CATGCCATTAATTTACTTAGTAAGTAAAGCACCAACTTCAGCAAAGTACTGTTTTTCCCCTACTAATTAATAAATAGATATGAAATGCGTCACAAGTTGCTGGTATGTCGTTGTGGATGTGTAATTAAAACAACGGTGCTTTGCAGAATCAGCAACAGCTAGATAATCATTACACGGGACTTAACATCTTCCTTAAGAACCTCATTTTCATCAACACTTGCTTATACACTACTGCACTGCTCCTTAAGGACTAGTACTGCCCATTCTCCTGTACTGGGCAGAACTTCCACGTAGCTTCACCATACTTCTGCATTACTAAATGTCTCTATGTGTACACATACACACACACCTTTAGATAGGCTTCTGCACGCACACACCTATGCATTTGCTTAATACTATATTAATACTTAGGTGTTTTTGTTTTCAAACAACAAAATCAGGAGATGAAGTCCTCACACCTGCTCTGTAGAAAACTATACATGAAACAGAAAAAAATTATCAGTAGATTCAGAGTAGGCAAAAACCAAGAAAGCCTTCAGCGAGCAAGTTTCAAGGTTTTGCTCTCAAGTTTCAGTGTGCTAGCTGCAATGAAAGAACCAAAATGAAATTTATTTAAAGAGGAGAACAGGCCAGTCTTAATTACAACCTATTCCTTTTGTTCGAGTTAGATCCAGAGCATTTTAGACCTGGTTCTTAGAGGTTTTCAGCAGATATTTGACATTAGGCACACAGAGTATCCTACTACATAAATGCTAACATGCATGATGTACATCTAGCTGTAGGTAGCCTTCAACATGCGTGTTCATTACTCTGTTCTCTCCACCTCTTACAAAGTCTGAGCAGAAAGCTCACGCGCTGTAAGACAAAGAGGGCTTGTGAATCTTGCACTACGTATGGCAAGCGTGCCCTTTAATGTCTGGGAAGTGAGAGTCATTTTTAGAGATCTGGAATGTTCCAAATATCTCCAGCTCAGACTAAATAAGGGAGCAATCAAATGCTTGTTTTTAGCAACAGCAAAAATAACTCAAGATATCACAAAATCACCGAGCAGGGTGAGGGAGGAAAGGCAAAATACAGCCATGTGGCATTGGAGAGATAGCCGTGGCTGAAGGTGTGTGTTTACGATACAGCTGAGATGACCTAATTCCAAATTGTTGCCAAGAAGGGAGCTCCTTCTCTCCTCTATCTGCTCTCCCCGCACCGGCATTTCTCTGATTACCCAGAGAGCCGATGCAAGGAAATAAGCCTACAAGGCACCAACCTAAACTCTGATGTCTTCACTCTCTGAACTAGTTCACTGTCAGGGCAAATATGCACCAAGGACAACACAAGGTTAGTCACAGCACCACTTCTTTCAGTGGAAGGCTACAGTAAGACTGGTTTATAAATATTGCAAAGCTATGGGGAATGGTTTTAAACTGGAAGAGGGAAGATTTAGACTGGATATTAGGAAGAAATTCTTTACTGTAAGGGTGGTGGGACACTGGCACAGGTTGCCCAGGGAAGCTGTGGATGCCCCCTCCCTGGCAGTGTTCAAGGCCAGGTTGGACAGGTCTTTGGGCAACCTGGTCTGGTGGGAGGTGTCCCTGCCCATGGCAGGGGATTGGACTGGATGAGCTTTAAGGTGCCTCCCAACCTAAACTACTCTATGATTCTATGCCCTGACTGGAAAAAGACTGTTGAAATGCTGGTTAAGTTGTGCAAAACTGCAAGATGAAGCAATAGGAAAGCCCAAGTAGCATGATGGGCAACTGACACAAAGTGTGCAGTCGCTTAGGAACAAACATTGGATGCAAAAAGCCTGCCTTTTTTAGATAAAACACTGACTTAACATGAGATGGAATACAGACAAGACTTCATTTACATTGTGTGAACTGCCTTAAAATATACACAGTTATAAATATTTTTTCCTCTCACTGGAAGTAAACCAGTACCAAGCATAGGTTACCCTCTGAGATGCAACAATATAGAGCTACAGAAAGTCTAGCGCTCCGAAAAAGCCAAGCTTTTTTGATTTAAAACATGAAATCCAACATTAGCAAAGAAAACTGACTTTAAATCATACCGTACATATGAGACCTATGTTGAAAACAGGGAAAAGTAACATCACTTCACAGGAGTGTTGTAAAAATCCTACTTTTAATGTTGTGAAGCACAAAAAATCCTGGAGTGATAAGTATTAAGAGGAAAGCCCATTAATAATAATAAGAGATCTTTCTGTCTTTGGACTGTTCTGCAAGGAAATAAGGAAAAGAAAGTAATAAACTAAAAGGTTGCTTGCACATAGCTTCCATGACCATAAGAAACCCAGGAAAAAGACCAATTATCACACTACTGTATCCTAAAGCAAACACAAAAAATAAACATTTTTTTAAAAACTATCTGACAGTGCAACCTCAATGTTTCCTAAGATAAATGAGTCTTAACTAATTCAAATGTGTAAGACTTAATTTTTAAAATTCTATTCCATTCACAAAAGGTTGAACAGAATTTACTCAGAATTTCCCAAAAGCTTTCAATTTTATGGGCTGAAGCATCAAGAAAAGTACATTCTGTAAAAACATAACCACCACTATCACTTCTCTTGATAAAAAATTAGCCAAAAAAGATTTGCATAGTAAAATTTGTTTTCATCAAGTATATCATAAAGCATTCTATACATCCAAATTATTTTTTCCTGCTTTTCCTAAGAGCAAACAATTCATCTTCTACAATCAGAAGACTTGCAAATTGCTTATTTCTGATAAGTGTTTACAAGGACAAACAAAAGTATGAATAACAGTATTGGATTTACCGTTTGTGAGTTTTGAGAGTTGCCTTGAAATCCCTTAGGTTTCTCCCACTGTGATTCTTAAAAAAACAAACAAAAAAACCCATATTTCACTCATCATTCAATCCTGTTTATGTTTAATAAAAACAGATCTAAATGGTGCGACACTGATGTGTGCACACATACAAAGAAGTAATATAGATGCACCTATTTTCACCTTTTAGAAGTTACCTTGTACGAAGAAAGACTAAGGTAAACACCAATGTCAATCCTTAAATCTATAATAAACAGTCCGTAATATTCTCATTAATCATAAAAAACAGTGGCTTTTATGCTTTAAAGTAGATTCTAACACATAGCTCCTCAACAGCCGCCACTCAGATAAATCCTGTAAACGTGGAAAGAAACAATCAGCAGTAATCCTTAACGACTCTCATTTACTTGGACACAATCAATTTATCTCACATGCCTGATAAGAAAGCTTCTTTAGGAAGAACACAGCTATTTTTTGTATACTTAACCTCTGAAAGGCTCAACATTTCCAGAAACTGTGGAATTACTGCATTCTCCCATTATTCACAAACAGCAAAACCAGCCTGAAGTTCTGGATACCGAAGTCCTGAATGTTAAATGTCAAAACTCCATCTAATTGCTCACATTTTAATAACATGCTTACTACTGAGAGAGCAGAAGAGTAAAGGAATGCAGGCTGCCTTTTCCCATTTATATCCAATAACTGCATCTGCATGTGCTCCTCACTAATTTTTACCTCCTGTTTTCGTGTTGTAGTAATATGTGTAGCCTTCAGGAGAAAATCCTTGCACCCACTCCGTCTTTTTTTTCTTTTCTTTCTTTTCCTTCTTTTCTTTCTTCTCCTTCTTCTCTTTCTTTTCTTTAGTTTCCACTGTGTTACTCTGTGTTTTACTCTGTGTTGAACTGGAACCTACATCATCTTAAAGAAAATGATGCTACTTTTTAAAAAAGGAGTAATGATCTGATCTTAAATATTAGTCACTCATGAGCAACAACAAACAGGACATTTTGTTCTTATGAGTATCTTCATTCATTAGTATTACACTCATAGAAGGTGAATGCTGATGATATTCAAACAATCTTGCATCCTAGCAATCCTATAGTATATAAAGCAAGTCCAAATATCAAAAGGTAACAGAAAGAGAAAAAAAAACCATGAGGACCGATGAGGTCTAACTAAACTACAACAAAAAAGAAACTAAAAGTAATGAAAAAGATAACTTCTACAGGAGCGTGAAACGACAAACTTTTTTTAAAAGATAGTATGTCTTCACAGGACAGAACAAAGGCCCTTGCTGAGCTGCAAGCTGAGTAGAAGACTCTTATCTCCACTGTCTGACACCAGTGGGAAACCAACCTCTCCTACTCAGTAGGAACTTTTGTCTTCAGCTGGCAAAAGTAAAACAAAATTAACTAAGGGAAGCTGCACTGCAGATTCAAAGCACCCACTACAGCCTAAATTTTGTTATCACATTGTTTAATTTTGCTACTCCAAATCAGGTTGTTCCTATACTGCAACTTCTACTACTGGGAGTTTGGACGTAACGTGACGTGACATTATAACAGTCCTGGAGGCCTCCTCTCATGTTCCTAAAACCTAATTTAAGAAAACCCCATTCCTACTCAATATTCATTCAATTCCACCTTTAATCCTTTGGCAGCTATATGAACTACCTGGCTTAATTCCAAGCCTTTTCAAATCCTCTTGATATGCTTTCATTGCAGCCTCCTCCATTGCTGCAAATTCTTTTGACATGTTTTCTTCTTCTTTTGCTTTTTCCAAGCTTTTCTTTTTAATCTAAAACAAAACAAAAAAACCCAAGTGAATAATTTAAACAAGTCTGATAATGAAAGAGATTAAAAATAAGTATTTGTGCAAGTAAGATATTTGAGTTACCTCACTAATTCTTTTTGCCACATTTTCTTTATGATTCTTTCCTCTTTCATGAAACTCAATGCTCTTAAAAGCGAGAAAAAAAACCATGAAAAATAATATGTATTATACAATTGTAATTAATTTTAGTTAGTTAAAATTTAGTTAGACTAAACTTACTTGAACAAGCTAAATGTCACCTGTTCTAAAAACACTTACAGCTATAAAATGGCTATAGGAATTCAGGAAAACTGAGTAACACTAAACATAGAAATTATGAAAAATCAGTAACACTGTAAAATGGAATCAGAAAATTTCCATCTGCGTTTATAAGACTGAAACTTTTGCAAATAATACTGTTTACCACAGATGTCAGAGACAAGTAATGGAGAATCTGGGCCCCCTCTCCATGCTATCCTTCCAAGCATCATCTCTTGATTTTTTTTTTACTCTCTCCATTTTCATTCAAATTTAAAAACCATATGGCTTATTTAAGAGTTCCAAATATTAGCTATGGTACTTAATTAGCTTACGCTATGCTCCACAAGTAACCCATGAACCTAAACTAGTCTGCAGGTCCACAGATCTGAGAGAGAGAAAGAGAGAGAAGAGGAGGGAGGAAAAGGCAAGGTGGGAGAGCTGGGTAACTAAGGACAAGAGAACAGTCTGCGAGCCAAAAAGCTGCCAGAAAGACGGAAGCCAGCAGGAACTGGAAGGAGTCCAGAAGCTCTACAGGTGCAACAGTGGAAGTCCTCGTGGTTCTGACAAAAAACACCTGAGCACATTTAGGTGTTCAAATGTTAGGTGCCTAAGCCTGACCTAGTAACCTTTGAATTTCTTTGAACGAACCAATGTGCAGAGGATGCACATCCAGGGGGTGATTCATCTCATTTAAAGACGGATTTTATAAGTTACCCAAATCCCCCTCTTTAACGGGTATTTCTCTTCACTGACCACAAGAAGAAACCTAAACCAATTAGCTCACACATGTCATTCTAAACTGCAGGTACCTAATCGTAAGACAGATGAAGCTCAGCTTCAGGAGTACCCCTGGCATTGTGTCAAGAATGCAAGACTTATTTTTAAGTGAGAAACCAATGGGTCAAGTAGTCTGCAAAAGGCATCTGCTAGGCAGAAACACCTTTCTGCAACCCCATAATGTTTCTGTAGGCTGTGTGAAATGAAAGAAACCTGCTTTAAAATGCTCATGAGTGCTGGCTGGTCTACCATATATAAGCAGCACATATGCCAGGTTCTGTTTTCTACTTGCATACGAAGGCTAGAACAAGCATGGACAAAGTTTCAAGACAGATCAAACGCTAAGTTACAGAACCTGAAAAAAAAGCGGGGTCAGATATTTCAGTTCTTATCTGTACTGCCAAGTAGAACAGCACACACCAGCTTGCATGCAGGTATCTGGCTCTCACGTAGTATATTTTAAATATCACAAGTATTACAAAGGCATTTTTAAACAACCAATTTCATGGATCAACAGATTAGTATCAAAAGTGATCTTAACAGCCAGTAACTCAAATTCCTAGTATTTCAAAATCATTGACATAGTATGGTAGACCGTCGTACAGGTCTGTTGTCTGCTATCCAGCACTTGCAGTAATCGCAGAATTTTTTTGGCTGAGATTTCCAGTAATCGGCCCTGGGGAAAGAAAAAAAAGATGTATCATCTGAAGCAATAATCAAAGTCACAGGTTTTTGTATATATGTATCTAGAGCTTCAGAAAAGAAATCTAATCATCTTTGGGTGATTGCGTCCTAAGTTTGCTTTTCTTTTTCTTTTTTAAACAACGTATGGGGAGTAAACAACAGTAGCTATATTGACTGTGTCTCATAAAACACAGGTCAGCATTGGGACTGTGCCCATTTGACCTCCGAAGACTGCACAATTTTTACAATGGAGGTGATGCTGTAAGAACCACAAATAGAAGAGAGACCTAAACAAGTAGCTTTAGATACCCAAATTAAGCACAGAACTGTCACAAAAGTGCAGCTTGCACTGTTTTCCATAAAAAAGCATACAATAAATGCTTATAAGTGTAAAACTTTAGGTGTAATATCGAAGTCTACTTTGGAATGTGTATACAGTGAGTTTAGCAACACAGAGGTGCAGTTCTGGACAACGTGAGCTACCACCAGGAATCCTAGAGCAGATTCTGACCTGCGGGGTCACAGAGACAGCAGTAAATTGTTTGAATGTTTCAGCATAAAAATGTGAGCATTTCTGAAACATGCAATTTAGATAAGCTGCATATATGTGAAGAAACTTGGGGAAAACTCTTCAGAGCTCAGAAGTTAGTACCCAAAAGTATTTAACAATAAAACAAACAACCCCTACAATGGCTGTTTCTTCATTAAAAAACACTTCCTAATGCCAGATGAGGCTTGTGCAGAAATAATTCCATTTCTCTTTGGCTTGCAGCAACAGATGAAATGCAACAGAACACATTCCAGCAACAGACTTCTATGTTTTCAAGTTAAAATGAAAAAAGAAAACAAAACCAATTCAAGATTACACTAACATTAAAACAGACCAGTCCAAAACCCGAACCTTTGCCTTTCATCTGAAGACTAATGTACAGAGTTCAAGGAAAATACCTCCTAACATGCTTATTCAATAAAAACAAAGCTTCTTCCATGCACAACGATAGCACCCTCAAACCTTATAACACCTGTGAGCAGACCTTTCATAACAGAAACAGATCTCTTAAAATTTAAGCAGATTTCAAAATATGCTCTCCCACCAGTGCTTAATGTAAGAATACGATTTCCAAGAAGCTACAATTATTTAAAAGTGTAAGTAGGAAAGATATGCTGTGCAAAAATATATCAGCCTATAAGCAATACTGTGTTAGCAACATGCAGCTTTTCAAGCAATTTTCTGGAAAGCTAGAAAGAAGCAGCTGGGCTTCTCCTGATTTAAACAGAAATCCGCTCATCCCTAAATGGTGCACATTAGAACTGGGTGATTACTTAGTCACACATTTAATTAAAAGGCTTTTCAGATTTATACGTCAAAATGTACTAGGGCCAAATCTTGGAAATCGAACACTCTGGCTAGAAAACCAGCTGAGTGGGAGGGAGAAATTCAGAGCTCAGAAATACCTCAAGGCCCTTTCTCCTATTTGAGCTATAGCTCCTAAAATGTCTCTAAATCTTTCGACATCATCCGAGATAAATTTCCAGCTAAAAGTTGGGTTAGCATTCCTAAGGCAATGGACCAATTCTGACAGACAACACAGAAACTGTAAAAGAGCCTCACTGCATGTTTCAGAGGTGCAAGAACACCTGCATATCTCCAAGTCTGACCCAATGCGGTTGGCTCATTCTCTCACAGAATCAAGTGTAACTGCTAAAATTAAGACTGTACAGCTGCACCCACCAAAAGTCAAGACCTGAGAGTGTGATGAGCTGCATTTTCATACCTCTATTTTCCACCAATTTCTTTCCTAAATGTTACTGGACATCACATCTGTTGCAAACCACTGGAGCTACACAGAGAGCAGTTGTGCTGGAGAACCTGAGGGCACACCTGGAGCTTAAGTACAAATCCAGGTCTGGACAACACAAGCCTTTTGTCCTCTTCATTTTGATAAAGACTGAAGGTGGCTCTCTGTTGTTACATATAAAATAAATCATGTTCTGTGAAGAAGAGCTGATATCATGGGACCCTTAAGTTCTGCATTTCATGACTGGTGAAGTTAATTGTGTAAATTATGGACCGAATTCTGAGACTTATGAGCATGAGGAATGTTATATGCTGAGTAATTCTCTTAAAGATTTTCCACTTGAGTTCATACTACTCAAAAAAAGAGCAAGCTCAGCTGAAATATCCACCAAATAACATCTGCCATTGTAGCAACGATGGAGCCTGAAAAGCACCAACAGTGCTGCAATGAGAGTGAACCAAAGACGAGTATCTGGAAAGGAGCAGTAACTGAAGCGAGACCCCACTTCAGTGAGATGCTATGAGTGCTTCACAGGCTCCGGTCACAACTCTGGAAGTTAATTCAGATCAATGCCAATGTTTAAGTATGTGATTATTTTATTAATCTGCCAAATACAGGCTTGAGAGTAGCTGCTCTTAAAAGTGTTACAGAGGTCTTTTAAACTTGAGTAACTGTGTACAAATCAAGGGAACCATAGTTACTTTTAAGTCACTGCAGTCTAAACGGTACAGCTTTTAAGACTCTTCGTCTTCTGCCTGTACTTAAAACAGTAAAGTTCAGGTTGATTCCTGTTTTCAGCTTTACAGCTGGGCCAACCTGTCAAGAACCAGAAAGCTGACCAGCCGCCCATCACCACAACTTTCACTTTCCTTCCTTTCACTAAAATGAAGAGATAGTCCAGAGTGCATCAAGTTTGGCTGGCCTCCGTTTGCAGGGTTGAGATTCAGCCCTGTGCACATTTACCCAGGCAGGGCCTTCCAGAGGGGAGTTCGGTGACACCAACCCCAAGGGGTGTGCAAAGCTCTGCCTCCTGGGAAGGGTTCTGACAAAATCTGCTCAGAGCCTGACTTTCCAGAGCTTTCCAGAGCAAGTCAGCATGGCAACCTGCTACTGGGCACACAGGGAACAGAGTGGCACTGATACAGGTGGGTACTGGGCAACTTCAGGGCAAACCGCTGCCAACTTTCAGCCAGAGTTGGAAATCCTGTGCAAACTTGCAAGAAACTTGTGTCTCCTAAGGAACAGTGATTTTCTTTCAAATTTGACTGTTCAAACCACTCAGAGACAGAATGTGCAACAGTTCAGAGGGCTAAAGGGGAAGGAGGGAAAAAGAGAGCGCGAACAAACTGTTTTCTTGAAACTAATGAAATGACAAACATTTTGCTGCAAATAGCTGTAGAGTGCAAACTGTCAATGTTAAAACCATTTTCAGATTTCTGAAATGCACTTAAAACTTCAGAGGGACTGAGAAAATGGGGGGAAAAAAGCAGCAACTCTGCATTAACTATACCCACTGCATTCACCATTTCTAAAGATAAGAAAATGCTGAAATTCAGAGAGAAAACTCCCAAATTCAGGTATTTTTACTTTGTGTAATTCATTTTCTGAGCCATGAGAATCACGCAGCCTACACTGTAATGACTGGGCTACACACTCCTGCATGTGAAACATGCATTTGGGAGCACACAGAGGTGGACAGAATCTGTTGGCAACGTAATGGAAAGCAACCTGCAGAGTAACTCCAGCTGTACTGGGGTCCAGGGCCTCCAGCTGCCAACCTGTGAGCTGCTTCTCCTAACAACTAACAGTATTATTAATGTTTTAACAGGTGGTGCAATCAGCCTTCCTTACATAAGGAAGCTTAAGAAACCCTCATAAGGAAGCTATCTCCAGCTGAGACAACTTTGCCAAACCTTACTTTGAGACTGGGCTTGATGTTTTTGTTCCTACCACATACTGGCTGAAATTTAAAAGGAGGGGGGGAGGGGAAAAAAAAACCAACCTACAAAAACAACTGTTTCAGGTGGTTGTGAACACAAGAAAAAAATAGTTTGGCTGCACAAAAAAAAAATCTGAAAGCATTTGCTTTGAATAGCTCTGTTCTAAAGCATGAGTGTTGAAATTTGGCAGTGATGCTGGGGGTTTGTATCAGGGATGTATCTGTCCAAACTAAAAATCTTCAGGGGGCCAAAACATCATTCACACTCTCGACAGCCTTCTATGTTTTTAGCATCTACAACCTCTGAAGACTTTACACGAAGTTAATACCTTCCAGCTTCTGTAGATTTGAGCACTGCACAGCTTGTGCATGCATCACCTTCCTGAATACAGGTGTGTGAAGTAAATATCATACAGATTTAAGTTCCTGACTACTAAAAGAAATGAATTTATACTAGCTATTATTAGCTCAACAGGACAGTATTTAGAAATACTAAGAAATGCTATTTGGGAATACTGTGTACTTCTAAAGAAAAATAATAGTTCTGTAATGAAAAGAGGTAGAAAGAACGAAAGAAAAAAAAAATCACACATATTTCACAATAGAACCTCCTCCACTTGGGAAGCCATCCCAGAACAGGTAATTCTAACTCAAATATCCCAGCACTGGTAAGATCTAAGAATGCAAAGCTACAATCAGCAGGGAAGGAGGCCAAAAAAGAAAGGGTTTTCTTGTACCATAAAGTAGGTCCCAGTGCCATGTCCCTAACAACCCACGCTCCCAAGTAATCCAGAGCAACTCCATTCATTTATAGTGCACTAACCCTACCCTAACTCTTCTTAGATATTTACTCTTAATTTTCTTTTAAATGGTATACAAAAATAAGGACCCAAGAAAACAGCATCTCTGATAAACAGAGTACATGTGGCTGTGCTTATACCTAACCTGAGCTTGCTGGCCTTCTAATATATCACAGAATATCACATTTATATGTGGGCTCCTACAGAGTAGTACTGGATGGGAGTTTCATCCACATGAAACAGGGCAGTTCTGGGAAAGGTTTAGTTCCTCTGGCCTTCAAGTATTTTTGGCTGCTTCTTTTTAAATATTTTTTAACGTTAGCCTATTCTGAACAACGTACAAATCACAATATCCCTCAAGACAATCTGAGGGATCTGAGCAGAGAGGAGTCTGCAGAAGCTGCTCAGTCTGACCTGTATTAGTGCTGAAGATCATTTCCACAGATCTGCTTTGTCAGATCTCTTTTCTAAATTCTAAATTATGTAACCTGAAAGGAATGCCACAAATATTTTCAACAATATACAAGAACGCACAAGAGCATCAGGGCAGGCAGCCTTCTGCATGTATAGAACTCTAAGGGGGCTCATCTCCGCTAACTTCGGTTGCATAAAAACTGAGATATTGAGTTGTCTAAGTTCTTCAAATCAAGAGGGAGACTGCCATATTCAAAACGCCACTCATTCCATTCTAAATAGGCATCTGAAAAGCAAACTGAATTCCATAGGTGTGTGTTTCTTCCTTACACAGGGAACGTAAAGCGAACTCCCTGAGTCAGCCTACAAAAGTCAAACATCTGAAGTCAAGGATATCTACTGAGAGCAGAGGTCTGCTGCTGTAGATGCAGAAGGATATGGGCTATGTCAGGAAGAATATGATAAGAATTATTAGAGAAAAAAAACAGTGACATAAATTGGGTCAAGGTATAATTTTAGCAATAACTAAAATGAAGAACACTGTACTGTACGTAGTATCAGTCTGCAAGACAGGCTGACACAATCTAACCATCAAATATTTCTCCACAGAGGGATTTCTAAATAAATTTTAAATCAGATTTCTTTTTTGGCAGGGAAGTTAGGATATCATGAAAAGTAACAGAAAAGAGCAAATGCTATTCAGATGACATTCTCACTTAATAAAGGCTCAGGTATTAACACAAATTTTCTAATTGAACACTTAAAAGAGGTAGCGAATGGCCAGTAAAACCAAGGCACAGCGACTTTCTCCCTTACGCTTCACCCAGGACCAGCGGGGCCAAAGGAAGCCGCGGTGTGAGGGGGCAGGGGCCACCGAAGGCCGGACGCCCTCCCAGGCGGCGCTCACTGCCCGAAGTCCCCCGCAGGCGGGAGGCGAAGCTGCCCGGCGTGTTTGGGAGAGATAAGAGGCCGAAAGCGCAGTAGAAACAAACAACCTGCAGCGGGGGAGGAGGAGGGGAGGACGGACGAGAGCAGAGAGACCGGAGCAAGAGGGAAATAACTCGATCAGC